GAGCATAGGGCCGCAACAACACCTCACCAATGGAAGTTGTTGTTGCAGTTACTTGTAGCAGGTTGGTTTTTACGGTGTGGAGTTGCTAGCCCTGCACCCAACCCTCCTCCTTTCTCATCCTGGACTTGGGATCAGGCAAAGGCGGAGGTTGGCATGTTTGGTGTGACGGGGATTTGAACCCGTGACCCTCAGATTACGAGTCGAGCGCCCTAACCACCTGGCCATGCCGGGCCAACATTTGCACTTAGAAACTAATAATATCTGGGAGGTTAAAAATGTTTTGATATTTTGATGCCCAGTTTTTACACTTATGTTTTTAATTTTACTGAAGTGAATACACACAAAAATGTGAACCAGTACTTCACACCATACCTCTTCAATTTTATGTGTGTGATGGATTATTAACAACCACTAACCTCAGTGAAATTTGGCAGTTTTTGTAGGAAAAGGAGATAAACCCTAAACGTTACTTTTTGTGTTTTAACTGTTTTAGATACCACAAAAAATAGGCTTAATAACATAAGATGTATAAATACATGTAATTTATTCCAGAATAACAAACCAAGGGTATGTTACTCTAATACATTATGAAGTAGCTGAGTTTCAATGAGATGAAGAAAGAATTCAATTGGATCTCTCTTCTTTTTTTTCTTTCTTTTTTTTTACCACAGTAGTCATGCTTTGTTTGTAGAACCTTTGAAATGTTTCAGAACATAATTTTCAATACCTGGACAAATTGATATAGAGAATGAAACTTCCTTTGAGATAAAGAAGTTATTAGATTTGAGTGTTTAAAATGGGGTACATTTGTAATTTAAGAGAATAAATTATTTGCTGTTTTTTTTACTTGTAATTCATTCTACTTAGATTGTAAAAATTTTAGCTACGCAAACTGAAATATCAGTTACATTGCTTTGTCTAATTCGATTTCTATAGATGTGAAGTACATGTACAAGTTGAATGTTGAATTTTATGTTAGTTGATGAATACGTATTAGAAAGTCATCTTTGGTATACAGTATATAAAAATTCTTGAGTTATTTTCCATATTTCAACCTAGGATGAAACAGATATCCAGAGCCCTATCCAGTTCAAACTGACGTATTCTCTTGTTCAGAAAGATCCCAGAATGCCTCAAGAAGGGGAAAAACTGCCTGATGTGAACAATTATCCAATTCTTAACCAGCAAGAAGCAACAAAAACTTTTGAGGTGACATAATTAACTTGCTTATAAAAAGACTTCAGCTTACCAAATATCTAGCGAAGGTACCCAGGAATGTCAGGAATATAGGGGCATGAGCTACCCTCTTCTGTTATTTTAAGCAGTAGCACATGAACCTATCGTTTGATGCAAATAATAATAATTATGCTTTTGCATCACTTTTGTTTGGTATCTACTTCACATCCTTTTCTACCAACTCCCTCATGCAGTTGAACTCTCATTTGTGGTGTTAGGACAGTAAAATTTAAATGGCTGCCATTTTAAGTTTTAGTTAGCTCTTAGGTTGGTGATATTGCTCGTCTTATGATAATTATGATAATGTTTTTGGTTTGTAGACAGTATATAATTGGTAATAGGTATTGGTGTGTGTGCATATATATTTTTTTAAATTATACAAATTATTTGCCTCTCCTAGACATGAAGTTTTGTTTGTATACATTTGTATGAGGCAATGATATATATATATTCCATATTTACATATTAAGACATGAACAAAACATGAACTTGCTAGATTTGATATAAGCAGTCTGATATTGATGTATATAATAACTTGAAGATAAGAGTTGTTAAAAGATCTTTAGGTAGTTTTATTTATTTTCAAAACTGATTATTGTTAGTTGAATTCATTTTCCCCTTCGTTTAGTTTCAGTTGTCTTTAATAAAGAATTTTCATTTTCACCTACATTTCAAATACTTTTATAATCATCAGTTATTAGTTTGTTCATCTTAGTTTTTATGAAGCCAACCAACATTGGTTGTGGGTGTGTTCTGTTGGATTAGTTTCATCTTTCAAAAGTTGTTTAAGAAAGTTAAAATTTCCTCATATTTCAAGAATGAAATACCTATTTTAATAAAATTAGCAAAACATTGACATCAGTTATATTAGTAGTTTGTATGACTCTCACATTTTAGAGTTCATATTTTTTTTACTGCATTTATTATGAGAGCTTGGAATGTAACTGAATCTTCAAAAAAAGTGTTAAGCATTATGAATTAGCTGTTCTGTTTTGTCATTAACTCATTATGCCTGTTCATTAAGACTACTTATATTTGTATATACATTATACAAGGTTTGTTTCAAGTCAAGAATTAGTAGCTTGGCTCAATTTTTGATAAATCTGAAATTTTGAAAAATAAAGTTTAGCTATATATGTCATTCATTTTTAGTGATTTTTCTTCTGTTTCTCCTAACTACAAATACAAGGCTTCTGACTCTCAACATTATCATGGTTAAAATATTTTTGATTGTGAGTTGAGAGTTACAGTTTCAAAAATACATTTAAGTTGAATTACAAAGTGCACTAAAATATCCTGTGTGCTTTAATTCCCTCTGCATTATTCATACTGAAAAACTTAAATTTTCTTCAACTGCAGAAGGACTTCACTATTTGAGCAAATAAATAAACATTTACTTTCCAAGTTTCTTTTATATTCACAAACAATTAAAGTAACTCTCTAGAGCAGGTTATTTATTTTAAATGCTTATTAAATCTCCAGACTAATAAATAATCAAATGTAGTAAAAATACTGGGCATATATAAAAAACAGAGTAAATTAAAGTTATTATTAATACTTGTTTCAGGCTACTTTTTTGAAGGATTGTGGAGATGATGAAATTTGCCAGAGTGAACTTACACTTGAAACTATATTTGAACTGCCACAGCTAACAAGGTAAATTTTTGTACAATCCATGAGACAAGTTTAAACCACATTATAACTGCTTTAATAGTAACCTTAGTTATATTCTTATAAATGTTTTCAGGTCAAAAGAACACTGAAATAATTTGCTTTTAAAAAGGTTGAATAATTACATGTGTAACAAGTGATATTTAAAATACTAAAATAATCTGTGGGGAGGGTGTTTGGAGAAATGGTATCTTTTGTGGTAGTTCAAATAAGATAAAAAATAAGTTCAATCCAAATCTTGTTTATTCTGGATGTGATTTGTGTAGAATGTTGGGAACAATAAATTATTATAAATACCATATTAAATAGCACATGTAGATCAATATTTATAGCCTCACCATAAACTTGGAAACCATAAAATGTTCCCAGATTCCTTTTCATAAATAGCAAATGATCAATTACTGTTATTACTAATAGTAAAAACAAACTGTAATCTCACTTATTGGAAGTATTTAGCACTAGTTAAGCCTTCATAACTCAAAACCTTTAGCACAATTAGTTGTTTGTTTCCAGAATTAGTTAAGTGAGTTATATGAAATATGTAGCTGTGCACAAACACTAAGTTTTATAAAACAATTATCACTAAATGTATGTGAACTTGAACCAGTGTCTTGAAAAAAATTAATAAAATTAACTGGTTTCCTGTATTGTCCTCTGCATTTTCTAAGTTTTGTAATGATTTGTTTATATTTTATTTTTATCACCAGTAGCTCTTGTGTTACTTTGAATGAAGATTTGCAAATATGTTATATTTTTAAACTGTTAATTTTGTATGAAAACTCTAATTATTTCTGAAATTGGTAATAATATTCATGAGCTTAGGTTTCATTGTTTTGACAGAGATCTGACAAAACCGTTTAATGTGCTACTAATATTCTGATTTAAGTTGACTGATTTTTTGTTTTTATTTGTTTTTTAGCAGTTATCAATTTGGAAAGAAAGGTTTTGTTGTCACAAAGACTTACACTAAGCTGAAAGTACAATGTTTATTTCAAAGTGTTTGTTAAATGTATGTTTTACTAATTTCCTCACAGTTTTTAAATCAAAAATAGATTTAGTGATTTTATTTAGCCTAAAATGATATTCTTGCGTAATCAAAATACAATAGACCTTTTACATGTAAGTATAATAGAATTATGAAAAAAAACACATCATGGTAGACAGTTCAATATCTGGCTTATAGCATTGTTTTTTACTAACAGTAATAATTGGCTTTCTTTTCCATAGTGTAAAAGATGAAAAGAAGTTGTACGTGGGAGAAGGACACTTCAATGTTTCCGTTCGAGTGTTGAACAAAGGAGAACCAGCCTATGATGCGGCTTTTTATATTTCACATCCCAGTAGTATAAGCTACGTTAATCATCTCACGGTTAGTTTTATCAATTGTAAATTGTGAAGTCAATCTTCAGATTTGAAGGATTCGGTGAAGCTTTTACCATGCACAAAAATTAATATGTTCATTGTAACAAACAAATTACATATAAAGATCTAATGGATTGTACATGTAATTCAAGGTGTGTTAATGATGTGTTTATACATATACTATTATCAGTAGATTTACATTTCAAAACTCTGTCTATCTTAAGAAGACCTACAAATTAGAGTTCTATCTTACTTGATAGTATGGCTTAGATAATAAGTTGGAAAAATTTCACTTATAAACTTGTACCTTATAAGATAGAGGGTTAAAAAATACACAATTTGGCATTGTAGTTAGATTTGGTACTTCTACACATTTATTATAAAATAAAACTGAAAAACTGTTTCAGTGTTAAATGTCCTTTCAATATCTAAATGTATTGCTTGGTTTAGACATAAGATTCCTATTTATAACTACTATTACTGTTGAGAAAAGAGACAATCTGCAGGGTTAAGAAATTGTAGAATGATGGCTTATTTAGTGTAGAGGTGAGACAGATATTGATAATTACTGTTAAGAGATGAAACGATGTATAGAGTTAAGAAACAGTTAATAGAATGATATTTTGTTCAGTGTACAAGTAAGATGTACATTAGTAATTACTGTTAAGACATGAAACAATATATAGAGTTAAGAAACAGTTAGTAGAATGATGGTTTGTTTAGTATAGAGGTAAGATGTACATTAGTGATTACTGTTGAGAGAAGAAACTATTTGTAAAATTAAGAAACAGTTAGTAGAATGATGGTTTGTTTAGTATAGAGGTAAGATGTACATTAGTGATTACTGTTGAGAGAAGAAACTATTTGTAAAATTAAGAAACAGTTAGAATGATGGTTTGTTTGGTATAGAGGTAAGATGTACATTAGTGATTACTGTTGAGAGAAGAAACTATTTATAGAATTAAGAAACAGTTAGTAGAATGATGGTTTGTTTAGTATAGAGGTAAGATGTACATTAGTGATTACTGTTGAGAGAAGAAACTATTTGTAAAATTAAGAAACAGTTAGTAGAATGATGGTTTATTTAGTGTAGAAGTAAGATGTATATTAGTGATTACTGTTGAGAGAAGAAACTATTTGTAAAATTAAGAAACAGTTAGAATGATGGTTTGTTTGGTATAGAGGTAAGATGTACATTAGTGATTACTGTTGAGAGAAGAAACTATTTATAGAATTAAGAAACAGTTAGTAGAATGATGGTTTGTTTAGTATAGAGGTAAGATGTACATTAGTGATTACTTTTGAGAGAAGAGACAATCCGTAGAGTAGGGTGGTCCAAAAATATAAAAATGAAAAATTATTTTGCATAATATTTGCCTATATTACACTACTACAAACAATATTGGAAATAAAATACTGGATCAATTTGTGCATATTTAGAGGTGGCACAACTTGAACACTTCAATATCATTATACATTATAGGGAAGGACAAGCAAAATAGATGTTATTATGGTTTTTATTCAGTAACAAAAACAAAGCTGCAAAAAGCACTGGTAAACTGAATGCAATTTTAAATAGTGCCCTACATATCTGAATAGCATATAACTATAATAATAATAATAATACTACAATTTATCTTATCACTTATGACATCAAATTTTCATTTCCGGACGTCAGAAATGTCTTTTAATGGAGCTTAACTATGCTGAGAAGGTATTGCTTTTGATCTTTGTCCTTAGTGATAGAAGAGTTAACTCTCTTCTATCACTAAGGGCTCAGTCAATTTGACCAACCATGTGACTTTTTGTACTCGTTTAAAGTCTTTATAGATTTAATACTTCTAACTTTCAATATAGTGTATATATCTTCACAAAATTTGGCAGTCTTTCAGTTAATATTATAAGTCTTTCAAATACAATAAAAATCATATTTTTTAACAAAGTGTTTATAATAAAATAAAATTAAGATTTGTCCATGAATATATTGAGTATTTGTTTTGAATAGTCCATGTGCAAAGAATGATGTTAGTACTCTGAGTGAAATTGACATTTAATTGTTCAGAACATAATGTTATAAATATGTCATTTGATAGATGAAAATTTTGACTTTCTTTTGTTATAGGTAATATAAAGTAATGAAACGTAAGAGAGAACTATGAACAAATTTTGAAAGAGAGGATGTGATGGGTGGGTGTGGCAGGGGGGGGCTGATTTTCTTTTCAATA